AAATCTCAGCGATATTGAAATGAGTAATTCCAACGTTTCGTTCGGCAATCTGGTCCGAACTTCTTCAGTGAAATTAATCGAAATTAACATAACAGGTTTATATATAAAGGAACAACTTTAGTTTTTAAAAACTTTGTCCAATCATGATTTATAAAACAAATATTAACAAGTATAATAAACAAAATTGTACGAGTTGTGATCAAAATTTGACCTCAGACTTACAAATATTGATCTACCTTTGTTCGGACCAGATTGCCGAACGAAACGTTGAAATTACTCATTTCAATCTCGCTGAGATTTTACAAATATAATTTTTTACAAATGTCAAACTTAATTGTTATTGTATTTCTTATATTTATAATCCCCTCAATTTTTTGTTTTTTTATTTATTTTTCATAAGTGTGAATATCATTTAAACTGTGTTACAACTGTTATTTTTTTTGTCTTTCCCCTCACTATTCTATCTCAAGGGAACACTAGACTCAATAATCTATAACATGCTAGAATTTTCCAACTGAATCGACAATAGGGTTTGAAACAAACTCACTGTTATTATTATTATTGTTATTATTAATATATTTATTATTCTCATTTCGTACCTCAAATATTTTTGACTTTATTTCTACCGTAAATGTGGACAAATCCCTCTGGTTAATTTTGTTTTGATTTTTAGTTTCATTTATATTTTGAGTAAATCAGATGCAATATGGTGACAAATGCTGAGAATTCCATTCTGTATTATAAGTAGTGCTGTTTTTGGAATAAAGTAGATTATTATTATCATTAAAACAACTATCTAATAGATTCAAATGTTGGTTTGTAGGGATTTGATTGGTTTCAGGATTTCATCATGAGCTCACATTAGTTAGAGAACCATTGGAAAACCTGCCAAGAAGTACTGGACAGCTGTTTCGTCCTAGTTTGGGACTCTGGGATTCGAACCCAGGACCTTCCGGTTACAAGGCGAGCTCGTATACCATTAAGCCACTAGGACTCGATCCAATAGCCAGCCAGTGCATGAATTCTAACTTGGGCCAATTCACGATATAGTGCAACCCCTAGCCAATGTCTTCAGTGGTGAGTATTTGTCTTCACACCCGACCTGATGCACCGTACTGGTCACGACTTCCCACTGGAACCCAGGTAACTACCTAACCTGAATAGGGCCAGTCACCAGTGAGCATCTCATTGGTATTCAAGTGTTGGTTCTCTAACTAATGTCAGCTCATGATGAAATCCTGAAACCAATCAAATCGAGTGGAACCCAAAAGGGAGGCGGCGAGTTGGTCGTCCAAGGGTGACTTGGAGGAGGTCATGCGAGGAGGAGATGAAAACATGTGGACAGACCTGGAGCAGGGTGAAAAAGTTGTCAGAAAACGAAGGCAATGGAGGTGCGCAGCTGAAGCCCTATGTTCCTCTAGGAACTAAAGGATACAATAATAATAATAATAATAATAATAATAATAATAATAATAATAATAATAATAATAATAATAATAATAATAATATGAAAAAGAAAGTGGCTGTACAAATTTACTTTTGAACCGATGCACAGATTTGGCTTTTTCAGGTGAGTTCTGATTGCCTCAGCTTATTTAAAGCCTTGACAATCAGATACCGCAAACAAAACACGTTTTCTGCCCAATCCAGAACGGTATGTCTACAATTTTTCTAATGTTGTTCTTGATATGACGGATTTAGAAGTCTCGCCCTCGGTCTTAAATTTTGGAGGTTCTAATGACTCAACGAACAAACAGAACAATATGTAGGCGTTTGCACAAAGAATCTACTTCCACTGGACAATGTACTCACTTTCTGAGCTTGATACCTCTAAAATACAAACGTAATCTGGCTAGATGTCTATTCAGTAGAAATGGATGTCTAACCGAATTCGTGAACAAATACACGAACTTTGGAAGTAAAATGGAAAAGGTGCCGAATTTTCGCAAAAAATCAATTTTCCCAAGAATACAATATTCACGGGTGATGTCAATAGTGAGATCTTATCACAACGGCTAAAAAGGACTTTCAACGCAGCTAAGCTATGGTGTGCATACACTAGCCGATCAATACTCAGTTCAAGAAATGAAAACAGATTACTCTGTTTCGCCTCTTCCTAGTGTATTTACCAGTTTGACTGCTTGTGTGAAGCGTACGATCAGGCTAGTTCATCATCGAATTTCTGAACACCTCCCATCTTGGTTTGGCAAAGGTTTGAATAAAGCTGCTATACGCAGCTAATTATTAGCTCATCTCGTCAATACTGGACATCAAGTCGACTGTAACAAAGCTTTTAAAGTTATTTATCGGATATCGCCCAACCTCCCAACATGGTTAACGAGTACGACTTTTACATACAGCTAAGGTGATCAGAATTCATCTGAACAACCCAAACCAGTGAGTCGGTTCAAAAGGAATTTGTACAGCCCCTCTCTCTTCACCATGTTCAACTATATATAATATGTATTAGGTTTTTAAATACAATTTTCTCTCTTCCCCTTGTAACTATCTTTTGACTTTGTTAATTCTGTTAACTTGTTTGTACTTTACGTAATTCTTCTCAGTCATCATCCCTATTCTCTTTTTACTCGTCATTGCTATTTATTGATTATGCGGTAACTTGTTGCTAATAACGCCGCCTAAGAATCAACTTATCTTGAATTCCGTAAATATTTTCAGCCCACCTCACCCTATAGAACTTGATTAACTTGTTAATAACATCTATTAGTTAACTGATGTTTTTAGTGCATCCGTGGCATAGCGGTTAGGATACTCACCGACCACGCCTCATGTGGTCCAGGGTTCAATCCCTGGCCAACGAAGCACTGCTTTACCTCGCTAAACCAGAAATAATGTTGGTAAAGAGGGAAGGTTGATGGGGGGGGGAAAGGGGCTAGCATGAGGCTAGCAGCAACTCCATCTTGTAAAATTAAACACCCGGTGCTACAGAAACTTCAAGCCAGTAAGCTTGAAGCCCTATGCTCCACTGGGGGACGTAAAGGAAAGATAAAAATGATGGATATTTTGATGACTTTTATTCTCTTAGTTTCACCTAGGTGGCGGAGGTGAGGGGAGAACCTATATCTAAAATAACCACTTGATTATTAAGAAAAAATATTGATGTAAAAACCAACTATATATATATATATATATATATATATATATTAGTGTAGAGCCAGCCAGCCAGTCAGTCGATAATGTGGAACTAATTGAAAAGGAATGCATGAATACATCTCCTTTTAATCTGGTGTTTTTTTTCTAAATGCGTAAATACGTTTGAAAAAAAAAAGAGATGACGAAATTATCCAGTCAGTCAACGTCACTTGATCACATATCGAATATAATTTTGAGTCGATTCTCATCAAAGACAAATAAATCCCATTCTCATGCTGAAGTATACGTTGAACGTGTTGTCTAGATGGGATAATGAAAGCTGTACAATTCAGTCAGCCAGCTTAGATATTGCAACCAGACGACAAGAGTAATATCAATAGACATCAAGGCCAAATGACCTTGAACCGACCAACCAATCAGATCGTTCATGATTTGTAATTGGATGTTGTTCATGACCTTCGTTGCAAGTTTCACCCAGATTTGGTTTTTGACTTCCAGTGTGTAAAAATGGGTTGATAGAGGGGGAGGTCCAAAACCTGCATATATGGAGGGATAATGACGCTAAAAAAGTATTGCCGGGCGGTTATTGACGGCTACGTATTCAGATGCAAACACTGTTACATGAGGAAGTCTGTGAGAGTTGGTAAGTCACACATTATGGGATTTTTTAGATACTTTCTTCTCCAAATCGAAACCATCCCCATTAGTAAAATATTGCGATATGCCACGATTGGCTTCTGACGCGACCAGTATCCGCTACAGCTCCAGAAACGGAGAATACAAAGATTTCAACAGTGAAGTGGTATCAGTACTGCCGTAATATTGCGTCACAAAAGCTAAATGGGATCACCTTTGTACTTGAGGGACTTAACATCGTTGTGCATATTGACGAAATGGTAATTATTAAGCGAAAAATGAATCGTGACAGGACTACACCAAATCATGTTTGGATGATGGAACTTTACGATACAAATCTTTGTAAAGGGCTTGTTGGACGCATCCCACACAGAAGTGCTGATACCACTTAAACAACGACTTGTTCTCCCAGGAACTACCATCCACACAGACAAATGAAGAGGTGATTCTCAATTATCATCAGTAGGCTATATATTCACCACAAAGTCAACCATTCTTCTGATTTGGTAGATCCTGTTATGGTGAAAGCTTTCTACTAGCCAAAAATTGTAGACAACAATTTACGTCATTGTTCACGTCCCGAATCAGGATCATGAGAGAAACCAATAACAAAGCTTAACTTCGGAAGAGCCGCCAACCAATCACAGCAGACTTAACGTGTGCAAATACGATTCGCAGATATATGGCCTAACTTTCTAAGAAACGGCCACAAAGAGATTGCAGAATAACCTTTAGCAGGAAAAAACACAATAACAGGAACACATACAAATTCCATTGAATAATTCTGGTCTCACTTCAAAAAGTCGTATCAGAAAGGTTAAACGGTTCCCAAAATGATACAGTACATAGCCATTTAGATGAGCTTTTCTATCAACATTGGTTTAATATGTCTATAACCACTCCTATGCGTAACTTGGACCAGTTTTTGTGGTAAATTAGAAACATTTGTCCTGTATTATATATATACGCACATTGTGCGTCGGTGGCACAGCGCTAGAGTGCTCGGCGACCACGCAGGTGGTTCAGCGTTCGAACCCCGGTCACTGACGCACTCCTTTACCTCGTTAAGTCAGTAACTAGACTGGTAAAGTGGGAACAATGGGCATGAGGCTGGCAACCCCACCCTGTAAAAATAAACACCACTGCTACAAAAACTTCAAGTCTCTAGCTTGAAGCCTATGCTCCACTGGGATGTAACGGAATACAAAACATATATATATATATCATTTAATCATGGAAATGTTAAATACCTGGGAAAATAATTTAAACTTGATTGTATAGCCCGCCAAACAGCATCAAAGTAGCGTAGCAGTATTATCTGATTACTGATTAAACTTCCCGGTATAATTGGTTTAAAGCATTTTAACATATTCACAGGAGATATGGCGAATGCGCTAGTATCTGAGGCAGTCAATGAACCAGTCATACATTGTGTTGCTGTCAGCTTGTCAGGATCAACTTCCCATAATGTGAAACAAGTTAGTACACGTTGAATAAAAAGATGTAGTAATTGATGAAGATACTGAATAAATAAGAATTTAGAAAAAAAAAAAAAAAAACGAACAAACATTAGTTCAAAGGTTAAGCAAAACAAATATGCTTTCAACCAACTTTTATTTGATTAAAGATGTATTTTTCAGGCGAACAGAACTGATGAGGATATCAAAGCGAGGATCGGGAAAGTAAAGCAAGTTTTCATTTCTCTGAAGTCTGTGTAGAAATCAACAGCGCTACACAGCATGAAAATGAAAATAAGATCCGGATTTTCAACTCCAGTGTGAAGTCTGTGCTACTTACCTATACGGGTCAGAGACTTGGCGTCACATAGGCCACTTCGAACAAACCACAGACTTTCGTCAACAGCTGTCTGTGCTCAACACTACTCAGAATCAGATGGCCGGTTACAAAAGTTCAGCAACAGGGAGGGATCTCTGGCAATGAACGAACTAACCAACCCAGCAGGAACCGATTGTGCAACAAATATGCAGGAAGAAATGGATGTAAGTGGATTGAAGGCTATACTCTGAGAAAACAAGCCTTCAAGTAACATCACACGCCAGGCCACTGCTCGCGTGTAACCCGAATGAGAAGCGGCGAGTTGGTCGTCAGTACAAAGATGACATGGACGAGGAGGTGGCGGCGCAAAGAGGAGATGAGAGCATGTGGGCAGACGTGTAGCGGGGTGAAAACATTGGCAGGAAACCTAAAGCAATGGAGGCATGCAGCTGAAGCCCTATGTTCTTCTAGGGACTAAAGGAAATAATAATAGTAATATAACTATACTAGAATAGTTCTCATCCTAGCGACTGCAAACACCCTTTCAAAATTGTGTACCCAAATATGACAGATAATTACTGTTAATTTTAAGTTGCATAACCCTAGAAGACTTTGAGATGTTAGAAATCCATTGGCCGGTGGTTGCGCTAAATTCGCAAATTGATAAAAGTTAAAATTTATAGACTGGCCATTGAGTCAAGTCCCAGTAGGTGAATGGTCTAGGAGTCTGTTTTGTAACCGGAACGTCTTGAGTTCAAACCACCTGTGGTGGATGAGTACTGCTGAAGGGTTAGTCCCAAACTAGGCTGACGAAACAGCTGCCCAGCAGTACTCCCTGCCTGTTGGTTTTCCACTGGTTCTCTAAAACTGATGTCAGCTCATGATGAAATCCTCCAAACAATCAAACTAAATCCCTACAGAAACCAATACTTGAAAATAACCTTAATTTATTTTACATTCTTAAAAAAAATTTATGTTTCCATCTCCGTTTTTTCGTCTGTAATAAGAAATATGCATATGACACTAGATTCTGTGCTGATTCATTCATATCCCTGAGATAAACCAATCAGGTGGTAGTAGTTAATTTATGACCTTGATGTGATTGGTTTATATTGTATGTAGGTATGGGGTAGTGACCTTAGACAATCAAAAATCTGGTGACCTTTCATACTGACTACTATCTAATAAATAATGCATAGTGTATTTGGTATGCATCAAACATTCGTTATCAGACTGCCCAGAAAAGTCTTATTCTTGATGGAGAATGTATATATAAATATATATACAGTAGAAGTACTTTAGATGCAGCTGCAGTCTTGCACCATAACATTGTCTCTAGCTTAGACAAGGGGGCTAAATTTGTTCGCTGCACCATCCTAGATTACACATCTGCTTTCAACTAAGTACCTAGGGACATTTTGTTAAATAAGCTTGCTGAAACTCAAACTGACTGTTGGGTTGTCAAATGGCTGCATTCTTATTTCTCAGGAAGAAAGCAGTACACTGTATGTCAGTCAGGGACAGTCGTCAACTTCATTGTTTACTGAGGCTGGTGTCCCTCAAGGCGTTGTCCTTTCTACTTTTCTGATTTCCTTCTTCTTGCATGACTTGCCTCACTCTGATGATGAAATGAACTTGGTTAAGTATGCGGACGATGTAACTATTTCAATGTCTGTTAACTCCCAGCTAGATTGTACTAAGATTAATAGCTATCTATCAGGAGTCAGCAAATGGTTTTCGTATAATGGTCTTTCCAAATGTCAAACTATTAATTTCAGTTTCTGATGTAAAACAAAGTTAAATGAAGCTGTTCATCATTCCTATGACCGTTGCGAAATTGATGACACTGATATAGAAATCAAGTCTGAAGTTAAGTATCTTGGATTAATTCTTTCGTCTGACCTATCCTGGTCTTCCCATGTCTTAGAGATTTCTAAGAGAATATTTCGTCTGAATTTTTACATTAAGAAGTAAGTTAAGGCACTCAGGCATAACTCAACCAACCCCTCCTCATCTTACAGTTTATCAACTCTTGCATCTTATCTATTCTTCTTTACTGTTCACCCCTGCTTATTCTTTCCTGGATTGCTTAAATAAGACTATGTCACACTTTGTAGAACTCTGAAAACTGACTGTCAGTAGGATGAGTGGTGGTATCCCATTAGGCCATATCGTTGACATTATCAGTGATAGACACCTGATTTCATGCAACAAAATTTGCCAAGGGAATTTTGTCAAACTGTTAGCATCCACTTTACCCGCAGTTCCAACTTTTTGTCTCCTCCTCAGGTAAAAGAAGAAGTCTTTTCAGAAGACTTTATTCACGTACGTCGAAGTATAAAAATTCCACGATACCATATTTGTACGGCACGTACTTTATGTGATGAAAATAGTGTGTCAGACATGAACTAACTGACCTTTTTGGATTACTAAATAAACCATTTCCTCCACACTTACAACAACAAACTTAATTGTTATTGTATTTCTTATATTTATAATCCCCTCACTTTTTTTGTTTTTGTTTATTTATTTTTCATAAGTGTGAACATCGTTTAAGCTGTGTTATGTAACTGTTAATTTTGTCTTTCCCCTCACTATTCTATCTCAAGGGAATACTAGACTCAATAATCTATAACATGCTAGAATTTTCCACCTGAATCGACAATAGGGTTTGAAACAAACTCACTGTTATTATTATTATTGTTATTATTACTATATTTATTATTCTCATTTCGTACCTCAAATATTTTTGACTTTATTCCTACCGTAAATGTGGACAAATCCCTCTGGTTAATTTTGTTTATATTTTGAGTAAATCAGATGCAATATTGTGACAAATGCTGAGAATTCCATTCTGTATTATAAGTACTGTCTGTTTTGGAATTAATTAGATTATTATTATTATTATATAACTGTGAAAGAGTAAATGAAGTCAGAATGAGGTATGGTCGGTGACTACTTGGTTGATGGTAGGAGAAATCTTTACCATAATCCAAGGTCACCTTTAACAATTTTTAATTGACTTCGTCTTACTATATTCTCCTCAGATGCATCAAGTAGACTTTAAAAAAATAAGAAAATGGACATTTATTTATTCAGATTACCTAAGGAAATAGTAAATATTTAAAAAAAATAAAACAAGATTCCGTTTCTCAAGTCAATCCTTTCATTATCGTCGTTCAAAGGTTTGACATATCACCAAAAGCATGTCGAACAGAGGAGTCCACTCCGTCCTCTTTTATGACTGTCGATGAGACATGGCAGCTATTCAAAGTGGAAAACACGAAAAGGTTAGCTAGTTGTCTTTGACCTTAGGTGCCTGCGTTTTATCTGCCAAGTTAGATGGTATAATAGGGTGAGCAATATTGAGGTAAGGCGTCGGTCAAGTGCTAGGTAAGGAGGGGAAGTCAATAGACGAGGCTGTGAAGCTATATCGACTGAGATGGTTAGGACACATGTGTTACGCATGCATCCCTAGCCATCACCTTCCTTGACTGACGGGCGGTTTTAGCTGACATAGGATTAGGTTGGAAGAGAACCAGGGTTGTTCAAACCAAAACATGGCTTCATCAGCCAATCAAATCCACAACAGTTAGTTTAAGCCAGCCACATAGGAAGGTGTAAACTGCCTGACGGACTGGTTGGTGTCCTCGGGACGGTAAACACCAGTGATGGCTGAAGACTCGGTGATATGGCTCAAAATCGTTCTCAATATCTGGCGGAGATGCATTCACTCCTTGTAACTTATAATATCTAATAAAACTATATGGTTCCTCGATTTTGCTTTTCTTTTTGCCCCATATCGCTCTTTACTGCCTCTATTTTACATTTTTTTACTCTCTTCTCTTGCTTTGTGTGCTACAAGGAGGGAGTGTGGCGGTGCAAAGTCCTACGTTGAAATCAGTCAGTCAGTCGATTCGAACAGGCTACTACAGACTTTTGCCAACAGCTTCCCCCCTTCACTGGCTCCATACTGAAGAACAGATGGCCAACTGGCCGGCCAGAAAGAATTAGCAAGAGTTAGAACCTCTGGCTGGGAACTAACCAACAGGCGAGAGCCGATTGCTCAACAAATATGTAGGAGAAAATGGATGAAGATGGGTTGATCGGGCCATACATTGAGGATACGGTCACATGATATCGCGCGGCAGGCGGCTATTGGTTGAGTGGAGTCTAAATAGGAAGCGACGAGTGTTGTTGAAGCCATATGTTCCACTAGGAACCGAACGGAATAATAATAATATTATATTACTAAATGAGTTCTTATAAGTGAATTCCAACCAGATGGTGGCGTAATCGATTATTATTATTTGGAAACACTAAACGATTAAATGAGAATGAGAGAGACTTTTAGACTAAGAAGGAATCGATATCAATAGAAAATAATAAAAATACCAACTGAAAGGAAAGATAAGTTAGAAAAGAAGATAAAAGAAAACAAGGAATAGAACAGATGGTGATCTTCCTTAGGGAAAAATAAAAGTGTACAGAGAAAATAAAACTGTAGGAATGAGAATAACAGTAATAATTACGTGGGAAATATAGACAAGTATATCTTGGTTGGGGAGGATTCAATCATGAGCTGACATCGGCCAGAGAACCATTCCAAAAGCACTAGGCAGGGAGTAGTGGGACTAACCATTCAGCAGTAAGCACCCACCACAGGGGGGTCCGGACCCACGACCTTCTGGTTACAAGACTAGGGAGCTCGTAGACCATTAAGCCACTGGGACTCAATCAATAGCC